GGCTGGCCCGTTCACTGCCCGGTCCTTCTCACTCTCTTCTGCTGGCTTGTCATCCTCAACCCAACTTCTACATGTTGGCATGTCTCAGGGAATAGCCCTGCGCCACCTTCTCCTGACTATACTCTCTCTAGGTAATCCTGCCCAGTCTCATGGCTTTAAATACTATCTGTGTCCTGTTGTCTCGATAGATAATTCTGTTTTTCAAGCCCACATGGATGACATACAGATTTCAGATACTTAACACGTGCAAATAGGAGCTCTTGACACACACGCCCCCAAGCCTCTTTCTCCCTTCTACAAATCTACCACACTCACTCCCTGTACTGCCTTTGACCATACATAACACCTCCATGATCAAGACTTGCAAGAAAATACTCTCATGGTAATCATTCACTTCTTAATTTTGTTCACCAACTGCCTTCAATCCATCAGCAAGTGATGTCTCTTCTCTTTCCAAAGTATCATGTGAACCCATTCACTATTCCCCAAATTCGTGCTGCTAGTGCGGGCCAAGCCCTTGTCATCTCTCAACTGGACTACTGCAAGAGGGTGTGCATTGGTTTCCAAACTTTCCTTTGTGCCCTGCCCACTTGCAGTATTTTGCGCAGAGAGCAGCCAGAGAGAAATTATTGGATGTAATTAGATCATGGCACTCCCTTGATTCAGTCTTCTCTCTGACTCCCCAGAGCACTTTGAGTAAAACCCAAACTCTTCGTCATGCCTCCGTCTCCCCACTGGACCTTCCGCTGTTCCCTCCATCCCCTCTCTCAGTGGGTTCCAGCCTTCTGGTGCCCCTCTTTTCTGCCACAAGGCCAAGGGAATTGCAGTTCTCCCTGCTGGGCAGGTTCTCCCACTGGTTCCTAGCAGGACGGGCCACTTTGCATTGCCTTCAGAAGGGCCGTCCTTGGATTCTAGGTAATACGTACCAAGTCATCTGGTTTATTTCCCCGAGAGCATTTGTAGCAACCTTTAAGTGTGTTTACATTCTCTGACATGTTTACTGTCTGTCTTCCCCACTAGAAAACAAGCTCCCAGAGTGCAGGGTCCCCCTGCCTGGAAGAATGCCTGCTACACAGTAGGCTCTCCATAAATACTTGTGGAATCATTGAGTGAATGAAATGAATAACACTTCCTCCCACAAGAAAGGGACCTCTCCCTCCCTCCACTGACACTCCACAGGGCTCTTCATTTTTGCCTCCGTCACAGCGCCTAGTAGTCAGAACACTTTTGATTGCAGATGGCAGAAACTGACCAGGAACTGACTAAAGAAAGGACGGGGGATACTACGGGGGCCTCTGTGAGAAAGAACTTGAGATGCATGCCCCAACTGCTCTCCTTGTCACTTTAGTAGCCCTGTTCCTGTTGCTGGAGCTTCAGGGACCTAGGGATTGTCTTCAGGTTTGATGGGTTTGGGGATTCGCTGGCTACAGCATGACTTCCCTGAATCTCTTTTTCCTGCCACTTCACTGATTTCTGTCGGCTCTATGGGCTGGAAGTCAATGCCATAGAAAGAGATCTTGTTGAGTCCTGGTCCTTGAATTGGTCCCCCTTGTCATTTATGTCTCCTAACAATGGGCTAAGTTCTTCTCATCATCCCCACATCCCCTATCCCCCAGAAACCATGGCCTCTGCCTCCTCGGGTCCCTCTTGGATGGCCACCTGGAATGGTGAGGCACAGCTCATCTGCCTCCTGCCTACAAGCAACCTAGACCCCCCGGAGATGTCTCCTAACAGCGGTGACAGTGATCACCTTGGTCGGGCATCAGCTGTACAGCAGGCTTCTCCCGTCTCTGTTCTGCTCCTTTGCTGACACGAGCCCTGTCTAGGGGCAGAGGGCTGGATTTTGCAAGCTGGCGAGGTACATGTCTGCGTGTCTGCTTCTCAGTGGTCTTGGGATGCTTTCCAGCCAGGGAATGGGAAGTTCCCATTGCCTCGCACCCCATGGTGACTGGGTGAGTTCCGCAGGTTCAGGGTCGTTCTGTCATGTGCAACTGCCCAGGTCCACCAGCCAATGCTGCCGCCACAGAAAACAGCTTTATTTACCCAAAGAAAGTGGATGGGCAGGAGTGAGGAGGAGAAGAGAATATATACTGGGTAGATGAAATTCCACGGCCACCATAGTCCAATCACATTAGCTCCTATAACCCTCTGCTGGCATATCTGCTTGTTATTTGTGTGGGCAGCTTGAGCTTTAGTGGAGTGAAACATCCTGAGAGAAGGGGCTATGGTTTGATTATGTTTTATACCTGACCCCACAGTCCACAGTTCAATGCCCGGCTCACGGTAAGTGTGAAACCCCTATTTATGGAAGGAAAGGACGGACAGAGGGAAGGGCTGTTCTGACTCTCCTGGAACTGGTCACATCTGTTGTCTTCTTTTTGTTCTATCAGCTCTGTCTCAGTTGTGTGTGTGTGTGTTTCGGGGGGGGGGGGCACAAGTGCATTTATATGTGTATTGATGTTTTCCTCCGAGTTATATTGAGATATAATTGACATATAACCTTGTATAAGTGTACGGTGTACAACATAATGATTTGGCATGTGTACGTATTGTGAAACGATTACCACAATAAGTGTAGTTTAACATCCATCACCTCACATAGTTACACATTTTTTCCTCTTGTGATGAGAACTTTTAAGATCCACTCTCTTAGCTACTTTCTGTATTGATATTTAATTTGCACTCTTTCTAAAGATCTGATCATACCGATTCCCTCCCTGAAAGTACCGAGTGGTGCTGGTGAGCCTGGGTATAGAGTCCAAGCACCTTAGCTTGCTTTTCAGGGCCCCACACCTTCCAGCCCCATCTCCTGCCATATGCTCTTGGAGACCATGAGCTCTGTGGACGCCAGGTTATTAGGCATGACCAGAAGTGACCACACATCAAAGCCTTGGACACAGACTGATCCGTCTGTCTGGATTGCCTTCTCTCCTGCCTCAACAAGGTGGACTGCCAACTCATCTTCCAGAGCTCACCTTGGGGGTTTCCTCTTCTGTGCAGCCTCACTTGATTCCTGCCAGGAAGTTAGTGGCTGCGTCCTCCTTTCTGGGGGAAGCGGGACTCTGGCCTCTGTTACACTCTACTCTAATGGTTGCTCACTTGTCTATCCCCTCAGAATTTGGCCCTGGGTGGCCTCTCTGCTCCCACAACACCCACTGCTCACCTTTTCTCACCCTGCCCCACGCCTCCAGTCCATCAAGACTCACTGCTCACTTATTGCATTGCCTGTCCCTTAGCCCCCAGTGCCAAGTACTTGATAAGGCTTCCATAAATATTAGCTGGTCAGCTGGGACCAGGCACCTCATTCTAGAGAGATTTCGGGTTTGGGTTTTGTTTTGAACATGGATGTGCATTTCTTGGTTCATGCTGGGAACCTCAGCATCTTGAGGGCAGAGCCAAGAACAAACAAGCACCTGGCTCTGGACTAGGCCCTGTGCCCAGCGCTTGGTTGGGTTTTCCTCACGGTATCATTAAGGACAGCACTAAGGACAGGGTGCTCTTGATTCTCCCACTTCCAGGCTGCATATCTTGAGGCTGCATGGGAGGGAGGAGTCGGGGCGCTGAAGAACCCCAGGTCCCTAGTCCTCCCATAGTCTGGAATAAGGGCAGGGTTTCCAGCCCAGACTGTCTGTTCCCAAGGACAAGCTCAAAACTAGTCCATGTCCTCCTGCCTCGCAGACCCCGGTGTCCCTAGGGACCGGCACCGGCTCCATGAATATTTGTGGCCTGGCATTATGAATGAATGAATACGTGTTCTTGTGTTCTTTATTCCCTCTTTTGCCAGCGTTGCAGAGGAGGGGAAGAGCTGGAAAAAAGGGGGAGATCTCTGAGAAAATGGGTCAGCAGGCCGCAGAAGGAGTTTGCCCCTCTCGTCCCAGCTCCCGCACAGGAGTTGTTTCCTTGGTGGCGGTGATGTTGGAGGGTGTGTGCACGCGTTGACGTAGGGAGAATCCCTGAATGTGGGAAAACCATTTTTCTTGGCTTTGTTTAGGCCAGGCAAGCGTATTCTCAATGCCACTCACCGTCTCTTGTACTTGACTGAATTATTTAAATGTTCTATGGAGAGAGGAGGGATAAAACCAAACTCCCTAAATCTAATCCATATTCCCTCAGTCCACAGTGGAGCCCTTTCCTTGGCTTCCTCTTCATAAATATCTGGGTGGCCCGAGACGCTGAGAACTGACACCCTTGCCCCCCCCCCCCCCCCCAGTGTCCCGCTCCCGCCTCCTCCCACCGCCCACAGCCCCGCAGCAGCCACAGGGGGAACCAAAGAGACAGAAGCCTTCCCAGCTGCCCGGACCACAGACGCCAACACCCCCCGCCCCCCATCACACACCGCCTGCCCGCCCGCCCGCGCCCCGCACGCTAGCCCACGACCCGGCGGCGGCGGCGGCGGCGGCGGCGGCGGCCGCGGCGGCGGCAGCTAGCGGCAGGCTGCAGTCTGCAGGTTGCAGGCTGCAAGCTGCGGCGACTCGCATCGGCGCGCTCCTGGCAGCGCTCGCCATCCCAGGTGACTTGGACTCGCCATATCTCCTGACCCCGGGTCCCCGGCCTCAGCTCTGGCTCGCGTCCCCGGCCCGGGTTCCGGCGGCCACCTGCCCTCTTGCCCTCTCCCGCCTTTCCGCCCCCCACCAGCTCGCGGGAAGGGAGGTCGCGGCAGCGACCTGGCGGCACCCGCGACCGTGGCGACAGCGGCGACAGTGGCGGCGGCGGTGGCGGCAGCGGCGGCGGCGGCGGCGGAGGCTGCGGCGGCGACCGTGGCAGAGGCGGTGGCGGAGGCCTCCGTGGCGGAGGCGGAAGCAGAGTTGGAGGCTGAGGTGGAGGCCGAGGCCTCAGTAGAGGAGGCAGTGGCGGAGGCCACCCTGGGGGAGGCAGCGAGCCCCCTGACGGGGGAGGAGGCGGAGGCCGCCTTGGCGGCAGCGGCCGTGTCGGTGGCAGAGGCCAGTGCGGCCGAAGCCGCCGCCGCCGCAGAGGCTGCGGCGCCCCCCTTGGGGGAGGCGGATGCGGATGCGGAGGTGGCAGCGGCGGCGGCGGCAGCGGCTGTCGCCGCGGATGCAGATGCAGATGCGAGTGTGGGCTCCGAGAGGAACCCGGACTTTCCTATGGCCTCGCTGTACGTGGGCGACCTGCACCCTGAGGTGACAGAGGCAATGCTGTACGAGAAGTTCAGCCCGGCCGGGCCCATCCTCTCCATTCGCATTTGCAGGGACAAGATCACCCGCCGTTCCTTGGGCTACGCGTATGTCAACTACCAGCAACCGGTGGACGCCAAGCGGGCCCTGGAGACCCTGAACTTTGATGTCATCAAGGGCAGGCCGGTGCGCATCATGTGGTCCCAGCGGGACCCCTCGCTCCGCAAGAGCGGGGTGGGCAACGTCTTCATCAAGAATCTGGGCAAGACCATCGACAACAAGGCGCTGTACAACATCTTCTCGGCGTTCGGCAACATCCTCTCCTGCAAAGTGGCCTGCGACGAAAAGGGGCCCAAGGGCTACGGGTTCGTGCACTTCCAGAAGCAGGAGTCTGCGGAGCGGGCCATCGATGCGATGAATGGCATGTTCCTGAACTACCGCAAAATTTTCGTGGGAAGATTCAAGTCGCATAAAGAACGAGAGGCCGAAAGGGGAGCCTGGGCCAGGCAGTCCACTAGTGCTGACGTCAAGGATTTCGAGGAAGACACCGATGAGGAGGCTACCTTTCGATGAAGACATCCCAGGAGTGAGCCAGCCAGCAGAGCCAAACCTTGGCTCCCACCCGGTTTACAGCCCCACCTTTACCCCCCAACCCACCAGCAGTGTATTGTATTGGGAGCGCAGGTCTCTCTCTCTCAATCTCTCCCTCCCTTCTTCTCTCTCTCTCTTTCTCTGTCTCTCCCTCCCTCCCTCTCCCCCTCTCCCCCTCTCTCCCTCTCTCCCCCTCTTTCTCTCTCCCCTTGCTCCTTCTTCCTCCTCTTCTCCTCCCCTCCCCTCTCTTTCCTTCCTTCCCTCTCCTGGCACACCCACCAAGGGTGTTGTGAATAATCTTGCTAATCTGTGCCACTTGATAGGTTGAAGGCTGCCTCTTCTCCTTGCGGTTTGGTTTAAAAAGCACTTTCTTTCTCTCTTTGTTTACTGCGCAGGTGATACAATTTCATGGTAGAAACATCAGAAAGGAGAAGGAAATCAGATGAGGGAAAGCCAAGAGAGTAATTGCTCCCCGTGATCCTACTACCCAGAGACAACCACTTTTACCTTTTTGCTGTGCTGTTTTTCTAGGCCCTCTTCTCTCTCTCTCTCTCTCTTTCTCTCTCTCCACCCCCCCTTCCTCACCCTCACCCTACCTTCCCTTTTAAAGCACTGTTATAGAGTGGTTCATGTATGTGGTGTTTCTTAACCTGCCTTTTCAGAAACTAAAACCAAACAAAAGTCAACCTGTCTGACTTCTTTCCATATTATTCAACAGGCTTCCGACACGTCATCTTCAGTGCCTGCAGAGTGTGTCTATGGACGTTAACATTTCTGTAATCATTCCTGCATTGTTGGCACATTCAGGTGGTGCCTAGTTCTTCCTCTGTGTCTAAACCCAACACTGTGTACTCTGATGAGTGAATCCTTCCATGTCAAGCCAAATCTTTGCTAGCATACCGGATGGTCTTCTTAATTGTGGACTTGCAGGATCCACATATGGACATTTTAAAGACTTTTCCTGTGTGTTGACAAATGGTCCCTTCATAAGCATTGTACCGATTTGCATTCATGCCAGCCAGCGCAGCTTAGTAAAAAGAGTATGCCCATTTCCCCTGCATAGTCTCCTGGTCACTGTAATTGATGTGTGAGGGTGTGTGTCGGGGGGAGGGTGTTTGTGTGTGACTTGGCCAGCTTGATGGGCTGCAAATGGTATTTCGCTGTTCTTGCTGTTGTTTTGCTGGATTTAAATATTGTTTATCACCTCTCTCCCCTGTGCTCACCTCCTGCCCTTTTCCTCATTGCCGGAAAAACGATTCAGGTTCATTGCAGGAAAAAAATCACAAAGCAGAAAAGTTAACAGAAGAGAATTAATGTCACCAGTAATCAATCCTCATGACCACTGATATCTTCCTGAAACATTTTCATTCTTACCTGTCTAATATTTTCCAAGAACTACCTGAAACATTTTTGGCTGTACCTCTGTAGTAATTTTCTTATGCATTTGTCATATATGTATATAATTATGTACATACTGTTTTTATATCTGCTTTTTCACACATAAATGTGTGTGTATTTGTATATTTATACACACACATACTCTTGAACTTCATTTCATGTCATTAAAGATACTTTTAAAATATTTTCTTTGAGTGTTAATGTTCCATGTAATTGATGATTCAATAGACAGATAAATAGATATACTTACGTATATATCCATGTCTATAGCTCTGTGTTTTTGTGTATGTGTGTATATATATTTTAACTATTTCCTCATTGTTGAACATCTTGATTGTTGCTATTTTTCTTTATCCAAGCTGCCAAGTACGTCATAGTGTGCAAATCTTGCTGACCTACAAGATCATTTCCTGAACTAACATTGCTAAAAGAAAAATTAAATGGTCAAAGGATATGGGCAGTTTTGTGGGGGAGTGCATTATTAAATAGCCATCTATAAAGATAGTATAAGCTTAACTTTGTAAGGTGCACCAGTATTGTAAGAGGACCTGGATATCTGTATTCTTTTTTGTGCTTGGTATTGCAGTCATTTCTGCATTTTTACCAATATTTTGTCAGGGAAATTTCTATTTCTTTTTTGTTTTTATTTATTTTAAACATTTTTTCAAATTGCTCATGTACATAATAGAAAATATATTTTAAAATTGCTAATGTAATAAAAGAAAGTCAAAATCCTAATACCACTATTTGACAAAATACTTTTTAAATAAATAGATATCTACATACCTTTATATTTATAATACAACAAGCATTGTTTCATTGGAGGGTATTTTCACTATAACAGTTCTCTGGGACCATATTTTTAAATCATGAATATTCTTTAATTCTGTTATGTAATATTCTATCACAGGGATGAGCTATAATTTCTGCAACCAAACTGCCTTGGGGTATGTTTAAAATGGTTCTGATTTTTTACTTGTAAGGTTAATTTTATGATGAACGCCTTTGTAACTGAATGTCTTGGAATATTTTATTGCTTTCCATTCATTACTATTGGAATTGTGGAATGATATGGACATATGAAATATTTTTTTGTTCTGTAGTCAAATGTTTCTCCCTTAAAGTTTATATCGACTAGTAGTGTAGAAGAGTGCACATATCCCTGCCCACTTAAATTGGTCAAAATATTTTTTTAAGTTTTGTAAAATTGAAATTGTACATTTTCTTTTATTACTTCATTTTACAAGCATATTTTAAAAAGTGAGAACAAGCACATTAAAATATAGATAAGAACCACTTCAGACATATTATTTTCTATACCTTTACAAGCTTTCACTATCCAGAAGCATTTTAAAACAACTATAGAATCATACTGAATATATTTTATGTCATAATTTGCTTTTCAATGTGTTGTGAACATACCTAAAACATCTGTGGCTATTCAGTTTTCTTCTAAAACTCACCCTCATTGTATAGGACTGGAATTTTTTTCAAGAGTGTCCTCATTTCGGATACTAAAGTAGTTCCTACGTTTTCCCCATTAAACCCCACTCTGGTGAATAATTTTGCCATTGAATTTTTTTCCCCAGGGAAAAGCATTTAATATTCCTTTGCCTAGCACAGGCTGTGAGTTAATATTTAATAAAAGGGTCAGAAATGTTGATTTCAAAAGGAAAAGGAGCATCTCTAAGGAACCATTTAGAATTAAGACATTTTTACAAGCTCAATAAAGGTAAGAAAACAAAGTCCCTGCCTTGGTAGAAGAAACAAGCTTATTTACACTGTTAAAGGCTATTATACATACTCTCCTTTTAGGTCAAAGTATCTTTGACAATTTGGCAAAGACTAAAGGACAAAAAAAAAAAGCCTTGTTTTTCTAGGATTTATGCTGTAGGATATGGATTGCTGTAATTTATTCATAGAAATTGTTTTTTTTTTAATTTGTTTTTAGATTTGTGTATTGCATTATATAAAGGGTTCAGAAATAACACCCCGTGCACCAGGGTGGATAGATATTGGTAGCCTATGTTCAGCACAAGGAGGGATCTGGCCTCAGCTTTGATCTAATCAGCATAAGATCCATCTCATCTCCACTGGGAAAATAAGCTAAATGTAATGGGGTGTGGGAGAGAGGAGAGAGAGAGAGACCGACCAGAGCTAAATAACTAGAAGCAGAAACCCTTATCAGAGTAGTAATGTAGTAATACCTGGAAAAAGTCATTTAACAGCTATCACTGTAGGAATCTAACTAACTATAAATTCAGTGAAGATTCTCTTTAACAATATGTAATAAGAGCAATTTCAGCTTAAGAGGAAAAAAGTATTATACTATTACTAGCAATATTATCCCTGTAATTAAGGACTGAGTGTATAAAACATGAACAGAATTAAAATAAAAACTATCATTTTTTGAGCACTGACGTAAAAAAATTATATAATGTTTAAAAATCCTTGCAGAAGTATTATTTTCTCTCAATCCTCACATCTAATTAAACATAAAATCCTGTTGATTTTATCCCCATAATCTTGCCAGAATGTGCCCCTTTCTCTCCATTCCCACTGCCATGTTTCTAGTTCAGGCCTCCATCATCTCTAACTCAGAATATTATATCTTCTACCTGAACTCTGTCTCCAGTCTTGATCACTCCTAATTCATCCCCTAAATTGCAGCTAGGAAAAAACATCTAAAACTTTGTATCTTTTCATGAAATACCCATGCTTAAAACTTGTCAGTGGTATTCTTTTACCTTCATTGTGAAATAGACAATCTGTCATGGAATCCAGGACCTTTCATTATTGAGTACTTGATTACCTTTCCAGTCTTATTTCCAACCTCCTAGTCCATCCCAGACCCACTGTTCCACATGCCATCTATGCCAAGTCACCTGCAGTTCTCTCAAAGCCCTAAGCTCTTTCTCCTCTGAACCCTTGCCTATTTCTAGCGTATGTTTACCTCTACAATTTGCCTGGTTAATTTCTGCTTACTATTTTGAAAAAAAACTTAGGTTTCTCGCCCTCTAGGATGACTTATGCAAGTGGTTTCCAGTTTGGATCTATTTCCTCTAGAGAGTCTTATAATTCTATCCTGTTCAATTTCTTATAACACTTACAAATTACACGTATTACAATGGTCTTGTAATATCTGTCATTGAGGCCATGGACATAACTGAATGATTATGAATGAGAGGGGTGCTGAGCATCTAAAGATGTATGAAAAGTGCACACAAAGATAATTTTCCAGATGAAGGCAATCTCTATCTGAATTAACTTTTTATAACAGCATTTGAAAACATAATTTGAATACCATACAGTCCATCCATTTAAAATGTACAATTCAATGCTTTTTAGTATATTTACAGAATTGTGCAATCATCGCCACAATCAATTTTAGAACATTTTCATCACCCTTAAAGAAACCCCATTCCCATTAGCAATCACTCATTTCTCCCCAACCCACGCAACCCTACACAACCACTAATATATTTTCAGTCTCTGTAGATTTGCCAGTGATAAACATTTATATGAAGGGACTCATAAAATGTGTGGTCTTTTGTTACTGGCTTTTTAAACGTCGCATATTTTCAAGATCCACCCATATTGTAGCATTATCACTACTTCATTATTTTTTATTGTCAAATAATATCCCATTGTATGGATATAGCACAATTGATTAAACAATCGGTTGATGGACAATTTGTTTGTTTCCACTTTTTGGCTATTATAAAAAATGCTATTATAAATAAGTTTCTGTGTTTTCAATTCTCTTGAGTATATACTGAGAAGTGAAATTGCTGGTCATGTTGTAACTATGTTTAACCTTTTGTGGAATTTCAAGAGTGTTTCCTACAGTGGCTGTGCCATTATATATTCTGACTAGCAGTGTATAAAACTTCCAATTCCTTTACATCCTTGCCAACACTTCTTATTACCTCTTTTTAATTATAGCCATCCTTGAAGGTATAAAGTGGTATTTGTGATGTTTCTATTCATTTCCCTGATGACTAATGAAGTTGAACATCTCTTTATGTGTTTAATTGGTCGTTTTTCTATCTTTGGAGAAATGTCTATTCAGATTCTTTGTGTTTTTACAAAATTGAGTTATTTGTCTTATTATCTTGTTGAAAGTGTTCTGGATATATTCTAGATACAAGTCCCTCATCAAATATATGATTTGCAAATATTTTCTCCAATTCTGTGAATTGTCTTTGAGCTTTCTTGGTGGTATCTTTTGAAGCACAATGTTTTCAATATCAATGAAGTCCAATTTATTTATTTTTCTTTTTTCCCTTTTGCTTTCCATGTTGAATCTAAGATTTTAATTAACTCAAGTTCAGATTTGCTCCTATAATTTCTAAGATTTTAATAGTTTTAGTTCTTATATTTAGGTTTGTGATACATTTTGAATTAATTTTTGCATATGGCGTGAAAAAAGGGTCCACCTTCATTATTTTGCATGTAGACATACAGTTGTCCCTTTACCAACTGTTGAAAATCCTATTCTTTTCCTATTGAATTGGAACTTTTGCCAGAAACTGTTTGACCAAAAATGTAAGAGTGTATTTCTGGACTTTTAATTCTATTCTATTGATTAATATATTTGTCTTTATGCTGGTACTACACTGTCTTGATTATTGTAGCTTCGTGGTAAGTATTGGAATCAGGAAGTGTGAGCCCTAGTCACATGCAAAAGAATGAAAGTAGACCATTTCCTTACTCCATAGACAAAAATCAACTCAAAATGGATTAAAGACTTGGATGTAAGACCCGAAACCATGAAACTTCTAGAAGAAAACATAGGCAGTACGCTCTTTGACATCAGTCTTAGCAGCATATTTTTAAGTACCGTGTCTGACCGGGAAAGGGAAACAAAAGAAAAAATGAACAAATGGGACTACATCAAACTAAAAAGCTTCTGCACAGCAAAAGAAATCGTCAACAAAACGAAAAGACAACCTAACAATTGGGGGAAAATATTTGCAAACCATATATCAGATAGAGTGTTAATATCCAAAATATACAAAGAACTAATACAGCTCAACAACAAAAAAACCAACAACCCAATTAGAAAATGGGCAAAAGATCTGAACAGAGACTTCTCCAAAGAAGATATACGGATGGCCAACAGGCATGTGAAAAGATGCTCAGCATCATTAGCTATTAGGGAAATGCAAATCAAAACTACAATGAGGTATCACCTCACTCCCATCAGAATGGCTGTAATTAACAAGAAAGGAAACAATAAATGTTGGAGAGATGGGGACCCTTGTACACTGCTGGTGGGAGTGCAAACTGGTGCAGCCACTATGGAAAGCAGTATGGAGTATCCTCAGAAAATTAAGAATAGATGTACCATATGATCCAGCTATCCCACTGCTGGGTATTTATCCAAAGATCTTGATAACGCAAAGGCATAAAGATGCCTGCACCCCTATGTTCATTGCAGCATTATACACAATAGCCAAGACTTGGAAGCAACCTAGGTGCCCATCAAGGGTCGAATGGATAAAGAAGATGTGGTATTTATACACAATGGAATACTACTCAGCCATAAGAAATGATGAAATCCGGCCATTTGTGACAACATCGATGAACCTTGAGGGTATTATGAGTGAAATAAGTCAGAGAGAGAAAGTCAAATATCACATGA